CCCTGGACCGAAAAAAAAAAAAAAAAAAAGGCTATTTTTTTCACACGACCGGGTGACCCGGTCGTCGGACCTGCCCGGGCATGACACCCGGGTGACCGACCGATCGTCAGAATCTTCCTAGCTGCACATGTCTTTTTCTTTGTTTTTTTTTTACTTGTGGTGTTGCTGAATGGCACACAAGTGTAAACTGCTGTGTACACATATTATGAGGGTATACTAACACTAGGACTTTTAAAGTTTTTACTTATTTTTCTGGACCTAACTGTGGTCAGATACATCCAGGTCCAGCCATAAATGTGATCAGATACATTGAAGATAGAGCCAGATACACTGAAGATAGAGCTGCGTGCCGTTTCGCGCCGACCCGCCAGCGCAACAAAAAAAAGCTGTTCTGGCTGGCGGCGCCAGCCTTTGAGGGCTGGTTCCCCGAGCCTCTGGAAGTTGTGGGGCGTGAACAACAACGCCCAGCGGCCGATGTATGGGCCAAGTACTGGTGGTTTAAACCGCCACTACCTTTCAGAGCGGAAGGCTAAGTCGTGAATCTAACCTGTATCCCCGCATTCTTCGGAGGTGGGGTGCCACCGCACCAAGATGGCTGGAGTCTGGCGGCACCAGTGCAACGAAACGAGCAAGAGCGGAATGCCAGAATTCCAAATTGCAACATCACATTGAAAGCCAGACAGTTATGCGCTGTCCAGAAAGCAGAAATGCACTGATAGGACACCGAAGGAGACCAAAGCAATGAACTCAATTGCCAATGACAGCCCTCTCTGGCCACCATCAATGAAGTATCTGATTTCCTTTCTCCCTACTGGCACTCAGCACCCATACTACGACCACACAGCTCCTATGCTAAGCCTACACGAATGACGAAACAACCAGAAGACATCAGCAGCAGAAACCGGAGTACGTGCAGACGTCGCCCGTGCAGACCTCCACGACGAACCAGGTATGTGCTCTCCCTCTCTCTCTTTCTCATCTCTTCCCACCCATACTGTCCACGTGTCACCCAAGGACCACCGCCGGACGCCTCCGCTGACTGCCTGCAAAGCCTGGCTACTACTGGCTTGACCGGGCGCTGCTCTCCCTAGCAGTTTCATCTCGCCCATGTGCACTATCAGCACCAGCGCTCTGCGGCCTCTGAGCGAGTCAAATGGCAGCGCTGCCGCATATGCACCAAGTGCCTGAATGCTCAACAAGCAGCCTGACACTTTCCTACATGGAAAGTGGCTGGGATCACTGGCTGCCTGGCCTGGGGACCGTGTGTCCAAAGGCTTCACGTTGGGCCAAAGTGTCTGCATCCAGCCCAACTCAGATGGTGGCCTGGGACCAAAACAGTTAGGCGCGCCAAACTGCTGGACATGGGCTGCGTCACTCTCTGCATCCCGATAGGCCGAAGTTCTACAAATCAGACTTCCATCTTTATCAAACGAGGAGTGTACCATGGTCAATGTAGGAAATTTTGTGGTACCAATCATGCCTTTATGCCTATTGTAGTGGAAGCTGTCTCTTTCAATGATTATGTTGCTTGGGTGTCTAATAGGAAAGTGGCTGGGATCACTGGCTGCCTGGCCTGGCGACCGTGTGCCCAAAAGCTTCACATTGGGCCAAAGTGTCTGTATCCAGCTCAATTCAGACGGTGGCCTGGGACCAAAACAGTTAGGCGCGCCAAACTGTCGGACATGGGCTGCGTCACTCTCTGCATCCTGATAGGCCGAAGGCCTACTTCCACGTTGCAGTTGGAAGAGCCTAGAAGGCTCAAGAAGTCCACGGTTGCTCGCTTGCAACTGGCGCGTGGTAACTCTCTGGCGCCCACTAGGACCTCGAAATGGCTAAATTTAGGCCTCAATAAAATGTGCTGAAGCTTCACGTTGGGCCAAAGTGTCAGCACCCAGCCCAATTCAGATGGTGGTCTGGGACCGAGACAGATAGGCGCTTCATACTGTCGGAAGTGCGCTGCGTCACTCTCTGCATCCTAATAGGCCGAAAGGCATACTTCCACATCGCAGTTGGAAGAGCCTAGAAGGCTCAAGAAGTCCATGGTTGGAGGTCTCCCTCTTCCTGGTGGATTTGGCACTGGCATCATCGTAAGTTCAATGATATCGTTGATGTCAACATGTCCATCCATGGTTGGGGGCAGCATGGGCCTTCTTGAAGGGAATTGGTCTGTCTCAGCAAAGGGTGTGAGGTTGGAGGCATGGAAAACAGGGTATGTGCGTAGGTGCACGGGGATTTGAACGACATATGAAGGCCCGTCCGGTTCATCTCCCGCTATTTCCAGAACTTCCCATGGTCCAAAGTATTGTGGCATAAGCTTCCATGATAGACCCAGTTCTTGTCCCATTTCAGATGACTTGGCCCAAACTCTGCAATGACGTGCTGTTTCCGGTTGCCTGTAGCCTCTCTCTGTCGGAGCTGTACCACAGGTAGGATAGATTCCTAATTTTGTTTGGCTGAGGGCTAACCGAGAGACCTACCTGTAGGGGAAATTCGTGAGGGACATATCAGCAAATTTGGGAAAATATAGGCCCAGCACGAACTGAATTTCCTACTGCTACCTTAACTGCAAATAGCAGGCCCGGGCTACCCTTAGGACAGACAGGCCCTAAAGGCCTATCCGGATAGAAGGTCCTATAGCCTATACCCGGGTAAGGTAAAGGCCG